CAGGCGCTATGCACGGCTACGAAATCGACTACGTCTTCGGAATGCCATTTTCTGAGAAATGGCAGAAGGAATTTTATAATTACACATATGACGAGTTCGTGACGAGCTTATATGTGATGAAAATGTGGGCAAATTTTGCTCGAGTCGGGTAAGTTTTCGACTTATGTGGTACCTAATGAGGAATTAGTCTAAACATTTAATTTACCTAACTTCACTCTCCCTCCGCTCTTCAGAGATCCGAGCAAACATGAATATATACCCCCAATGCCCCCCCGCTGGCCGAAATATGATGTGATCTCGCGAAAATACATGGAAATAGGTCTGGATTTTAAAGTCAGGCAGCATCATCGCACGGAGTTCTGCAAGTTCTGGAATGAAGAATTACCTAGCTTAGTCCGAAAAAAAATGAAGGAAGAACGCAGAGAGCCTAGAGACCTGTGTCCGAGCCTAGAGCCTTACTTCAATGAGCACCGCAAACTGTAAAAATTTATCCATGTGCTTAGGAACGGTACGACTACTGAGTCTCCATTGACAACTACTACGTCTGCCTGATATCTGTGACCTTCATGTGGGTAATGAATGATGGCAATGGAAATAAAGGAATGAAAAGACATGTTCCCTTTTGCTTTTAAACAAAGTGAGGGTAATCCTTAATTGCGGGTATAATAAAGGGTAAAACACGCTTGCTTTCAGAACTGTTGAGACTAGACCCTCAGTCTGCTCCTACGTAGATTCCTTGTAACAACACATAACCTAACATAACGCGCAGACGAGTGTTCCGATGATATTTTGTCGCTGTATCAGATATATGGCTCGCCAGTTTGGGGGTATATTTCACAGGACTAAACCTTCGAGTAACTCATCGGAGTAGAAAAAATGCTAGCTTAAAGCAGACAAAAGTCAGGCAGCTGCGTTAAAAGTACTAATTCAGTACACGGGTTGCTAGGGCGACCAAAGAGTTTGTGGCCTTCGTGTTTCAGATCGGACCGACGCGCACAGACGTCTGACTAGTCTTGGCCGCCGATAACGGTCCTACTGTTATGGCCAAATTTAAGCTTTCTCACGGCTCATGTGGGATGTAAACAGCGAAAAGCTGTATTGGTGATGCGATTCTGATTATAAGTAAATCGTACGCTTTACCTAAACTTTACTTTGTACCCGACACATATACATTTAAGGAAGTCAAGTTAGGCGAACGAACGTTTTCGAGTAATTCATTATCGGGCAATACCATAATATAAGAGGGGTAGAGTAAACGAAATTTTTAGACAAACTAATCAGTAGAAGGCTCCGTCCTCATTCCCAAATGATCCGGAGCGGTAAGTGCATAATTTTACTAACATGACGCTCGACAAACACCTGCTTGAAGTTCTATCCATTGGCCACAATTTTTTTTCCTAATAGAGGACCGAACAGATTAGGGGTAGAAGTGCAATTTGAAAATCATTTGAGTCAGACATATGACTCAGTACCTACAATGGGAGAGGATGCACAGTATTTCAAATCAACACTCGTTAATTGTTGCTATAAATATCTTAGAACTGAACCTCTAAGTATTGGACACGTCGCGAGAGAGCATCTGGAGATGCTCAAAGTTTTGCGCCAAAATACTCGCATATTCAAAACTAAACCGGACAAAGTTTCTGGTCTTGTTCTTATGAGTAAAAATATTTATGTCTCAAACATTAAATCAATTCTGGCTGACGA